GGGGTCCAAGAATATATCATAAAAAAATAGATTTCCAAGACCCATTACAACTCCGTCTAAACAATACAATGCAAGAAATTTTTACAATTTCTCAAAACAGTGAATAATCTGAAAACGAGTTTATCCCAACAAAATTGTGTATTCTTGTAGAACGCTGACATGTCATTCCAGCAATACACAAAATAATCCACAATCATTGACTCTGAATCCCTAACCAGACCTTTAGACTCAAATCAGCTTATAGGAGTTGGGATCTACAACTGGCTTAAGGCTTATAAGAAGCTATATTATAGTGTATTAGTGTTTTCAGAAATAAAGATCGAAAAAACTCCAATGATGGATTATGGAGTGCAACTCAAATTAGATTTTTAAGACCCATAAGCTCCATTCACAAGTCTAACTATAAATTATACAGCAAGAAACTTTACAACTGCTTATAAGTCATAACAGTGGATGATCCGATAACAAGCTCATTCAAGGTTTCTAACAAAACTGTTAACTGTGTGAGACAATACAGTAACCCTAAACACAGAACAATTTGTATGCACATATTGTAAATTCTTCTTTGAAATCAGAATTGGTGCCAATGATTGGTTTTATGAGATTTCTGTTCTCCCCATTACATTGATTCTTCTACAACTTGCCCCTCTCTAGTAATTTTGAGAAACTGTATAATCCTCGAATGCTTTAAGATTTTCCAAATAAGAATTTAGCAAACTACTTCATCTCACAGATTTTTGCACTCCTTCCAACATGTGGAAAGCCCAATTCACGTTGGAATTGATTCATGTCTTTCTCTTAGAACCCAATTGCATGTCAATGCAAACAGAGATCATCCAAAATAAGCAGCTAAAAAGATAACCTAGAAACTATTCCAAAAGCCAAAGAGCTGCTCATTCCTAACCAGATAGCATCTTTTTGGCATTCACCAATGCAAAGAAGTGACACTCATTTTCATCATTATGGTGTGGAGACGATGATAACATAAGAACGGAACTTCAAAGTGTCACTGTAAAACTCGGTTTTGTAACCCTGCCTCTTTCAAAAGTTAAAGACATGTAAGCTAAGAAGTTATTGATAGTTCAATGGGGGTAGATATGTGTCATTTAAGTACAGCATATTTGAAGGAAAGACTACTCCACAGCATGTCAAGAGACATTTTGTGCCTCATTTACAAATTTATCACTTACCTTAACAGAATTATGATCACTGAATTGCTCTCCTGCAGTCCTCTTCCACTCTTGTCCAGTCACTGACAAAGAAGCCAATACTAAGTAAAACACAACTAATCACCAAAAAAATATAATAAAACAATGCAGCTCAGAGATTCATACTCCCGTTTCCGATGGCACAAAGCACGATTTGTCCAGTAAATGGGAACATTAGGGCACAGCGTAATCGCCTGAAATTGAAGATTGAACAATGCATTTGACAAATCAAGTTGAACATAAATGAAGCAAAAGCGATACCAAACCAAGTGGATGTATATACCTCTGTATACGCATCAATGGCTGCAGCAAACCGGTTCTTCTGGAAGTAGTTAATCCCATCTTGCTTCAGCTGTTCTGCTTGTTCGGCGGCAGAAAGCAAAGGTGCCATCTCCTTCTATCTCGTATCCGATCCCTCTGCAAACCCTACACCGCTCTAATGTCGTCTGGTTGGAGTATTTCTTCTCTCTGGAGAAGAAAGCGACCTGTAGCCAAAAGTTGGCGAAATTATAATGGGATTCTGAAACTCTGAACAAGATTCCAGATTTCCAGATGCTTTTTACAGGACAGTTCAGAGGGCGATTCCGCGAAATCGAGGAACCCATCAAAGTTCTTTTGCCTTTTCCAGTACTCCATAGTACAAGACTTGAATTCAATTGAAGCAACAAATGCGTTTATCTCATTCGCCATCACCAATTGCGTAAAAAGATAATAATGGTGCGGCTTAAATTGTCTGAGAATCTAGGGTCAAAACTCAATAGTCAATACTTTGTACTCCGGACTATTTTGCATCCTTGTAAAAGTTGTAACACATACTCCGTAATTCATAATTGTAAATTTGTAATGCATAATTGTACTCCGGAGTAAGTTGTAACACATAATTCATAATTGTAAATTTGTAATGCATTCCTACTTGTTAGAATATCAAAATGCATCCTAAAAAATGTACAAAATATTTATTGTCATTGACACCGATCTTTTATTTCTTTATCCAAAAATAAAAGATCTCTGGCTAATTGTTTTTACTTAAAACAAATTTTCTAAAGAATCTCTTTGGTACATGGAATTGATGGAAATAAAATTGAAATTTTATAAAATTAAATTGGAGATTTTTTATTCTATCTATTTGAAACCATGTATTTTTGTACTACCAAATAACGAAATTAGAATTAAAAACACTAATTACAATTCTATGATATGAATTCAGTGTATCAAGCGAAGCCTAAAGAATTTTTCATGCACAATATATCCAACGTAATTGCCAGAAGACATGATTGTAGTTATTTCGTGGTATAGAATAATTTAACTAGGCAAAAACTTTCAAAAGATGGCTCTCACGGATAACGCAAAATGATGGGTGTAAATTTGACCTGGTCAAACGAACTCTACCTGAGTACCAGGTAAGGATAACACCCAGGACCCAACAAAAATGATCTAGACCAGGAAAGAATTCTTGTGGCCGAACTTGTATTTCTTTTATCTCAAAAGTGTACAAGTTTGTCTGAGAATGAATAAATGTCCTCCCCTTCGTCAATTACAACCTATTTATATCGAGTGGAGGATACTAAATAAGCCAACTAGTCACGACTCATCCATAAGCCTAGCGCCAATCCAATAGTCATACATGCAGATAACCCTTTGACCTGTCGCTCATTAATTTGGTCATTAATGAGCATCAATCTAGCCATCAATAAAGTGATCAAACCAGGACAATAGAGTGGAATCTTCGATGCGCAATTAACTCCCGAAGATGGTGAGTGGAGTAAATAAAATGAACATGCTGTCTCACCGTGTCATCCCTACTAGTTTGCCTATCAAGGTCCATCAGGGCTCATCCGAAAAGTTGTCTTATTGATTGTGTCTTCTATGTAACCCATGCAAATATGATTATGCTAAAAATATGATTAGTCAGTTACCAACGATGATATGACCGGTCACTTTTTTCGATTGTTCCCATGTCTTCCCAAACATTATTAGCTCTTGATCGGTCATGTCCCAAATGGTCACTTTTTGGGTCTCCAGGTTAGGTATAACTTTATTATTTTATAAGTTATACCCATAAGATAATATATTCAAGTCACTTATTATTTTGTAGAAATTTTAATATAATTTTTAAATAAAAACCGAGTAAGTTTTATTTTTAAATTTTAGACACGTAATAAATAAATTAAATTAAAAATTAATCGATCAAATATTGTAATGCATAATTGAAAAAACATTTCCGGATGAAAGAAGTGTAAAATTTTCTCATATAATTTTTTGGCATTTGGATTTAAATTTGTATTCCATAAAATTAAACACACACACATGTGTGTGTGTGTGGCATTTCTATTCAATTCCATTGGTTTAGCACTCTAATCCCAAATTGATCACGTATCCACTTTGGCCAATGAAAATTGGAAAAAATACTAAAGTAAGAGTAAAATATTGAAAATACATCAAAATAAAAGCTTCATTTTTTTATTCTCGACATAGAATTTAATTTGCATTTACAATATCAATTATGATCATATACATTACCAAAAAGTATTATAAAATATTTATATACGAAATCACATTATAACAGTGCAAAAATACATACTTCGAAAATAAAGACACGAAACTCTTGTTTTTTACTCTTAAGAGTAATATCTTATAAAAACAAAAAATTGCTGCTGGGTACCCCCAATTTTGTAATAAGAACTCCTAGGTCCCATTGTTTTTTCAAAATATACTCCGAAGTACCTTAAGAATTAAGATATTCGAAAATTGACTCCGGGGTGACAATCCGTCACTCTCTCCGTTAACATCCCTTCTTCCGTTATCTTCTTCTTCTTCTTCTTCTTCTTCTTCTTCTTCTTCTTTTCTTTTTTTCTTCTTTTCTTCTTCTTTCTCCTTCGCCTTCCAGTACTTTCCTCCCCCCACCCCCGTTTTTTTTCTTCTTTTACTTTTTGTTTTGTTTTTTTAAAAACAAAAAGGACTGGAAGGCGAAGGAGAAAGAAGAAGAGAAGAAGAAGAAGAA